TCTTGATTCTTTTTGTAGACAGAGTGGAGAAGGAGGGAGAAAAAGAAAGGCTTGGCAGAACTAAGAGGTGTAATAATGCCAGCACAGCGGCCTAGATCTCAGACCAGCAGACATCATTTATGTCTAGATACCAAGCCATGCAATTTGCATGTATTTTCTTATTTGAGACTCCAAGTATTCTGCAAGAAGGTCTCCCTTCTACAAAGATGCTAGGTGATCTGGAGTCACCCATTTAGAAAGTGGCATATCTGGGATACAAACACACATCTATACAACCCTTAAAGTCTTCCTTTTCCACTATGTTATGTTAGTTCAATTCAGACATATTTTTCTTTTCACAGGTATGCTGAGCACTCTTAGGAAAATCCAGGAGAAAATGTCTAAATCTGATTTCTATCTAAATGATTAAATCTGATTTTACACAGTTTAGATGAATCACTGCCTTTCCAGATAAGCCCACGGTTGGTCTTCTGTTCATGGGCTCCTCAGTCTTTCTATACACTTTGTTGTACTGCTTACCACAGAGTAATTGCTTATGTCTGTTTATCCTCAAGGAGTGTGTGAACTCACAGATTCAAGGCAACCTGTTTAGTTTGCCTACTCATCTCCAGAGCCATTTGGTAGGTGCTCCATAAAATTCTGATATTATGAATTAATGAGCTACTCATTTACAGCACCATTTAAAATTATATTTATTTGAGGGGCCCCTGGGTGGCTCAATGGGTTAAAGCCTCTGCCTTCACCTCAGGTCATGATCCCAGTATCCTGGGATCGAGCCCCGCATGGGGCTGTCTGCTCAGCGGGAGCCTGCTCACCACCACGCCCTCCCGCCTGCCTCTCTGCCCCCTTGTGATCTCCATCTGTCAAATAAATAAATAAATAAATAAACAAACAAACAAATAAACTCTTCAAAAAATTAAATTAATTTGAATAGTAACATTCTACTGGACAAATCCATTTCAAATATGAATTGCAACATACACAAATGACAAATATGATTACACCATTCACAACATACAATAAACTTTAAAGAAAATGTTAGTTTTATTCAACCATGTCACAACCATGACAAAGGTAACCTATTTTAACTCATTACCACCTATGGATCAGTAGGAAAAGATACCTAATAATACTGTTCATCAGTTTGCAATAAACCTTGAATCCTTGAGTGAATAGACCTATTGCCATTCTTCACTCAGGGAAGAAATAAATATCTATCTATCTATCTATCTTTTACTACAAATATATATAAAGCACTTTAAAATGGCTATGAAGATAAGATGGCTGGGTAGCAACATAAAAGAAATATAAGGACTACACAGAAGGCTTGGGTGAAGAGAAGGCTTGCTGAAAAATGAGAGTCACCAATGCCTAGAAGGAAGCATAAAGTATGAACAGAGCAGAAAGGGTGTCATAACATAGTGAAAAAAAGCAAACAGGTTGCATAGGACATGTGTTTAGAGTGGGACAGTCTGGAGACCTGGGAGTTTATTCTCCAGGGAATAGATGGACTTGGTTAGAAAGACTTGCTAATTACATGAAACTGTTGGGACTTCCTCTCGGGAGCAGTAGGGACTCCATAAAAATATTCGAGCTGTGGGACGCTTGAGAAAACTCTTTCAGGAACACCAATTGGTCGATGCTTTACAAATGGCTTGTGTGTCACGGGAATTTATGAAGAACATTAGGGTGGAAACAAGTGAGGATGGATGCTGTCTTGAAGAGCCTCTTCCTAGGTTAAAATAAGTGGTGTGCAGAACTCCTGGTGGCTCAGTTGGTTAAACGTCTGCCTTTGACTCAGGTCATGATCCCAGGGTTCTAGGATCGAGCCCCGCATCCGGCTCCCCGCTCAGGGGGAAGCCTGCTTCTCTCTCTCTCCTGCTCCCTTCTGCTTGTCCTTCCTCTCTCTCTGTGACAAATAAATAAAATCCTCAAAAAAAAGTAAGTTGTGTGCATGAAGAAATAAAGGCATTGAGAACTAAGATGAAAGAAATTGAAATAGAGTCTATAAAGGAAGAAGCAAAAGTGCATGGCTACTATCTGGTTAGAATGTGGAGAAAAGCTCTAGAGAATTAATGATGGCTTATCTTTAAGAGGAGAGCACCTCAGGAAAACAAACAAAAAAACCTAACAAAACAAAAACCCCAAAACGATATACAGTTACAGTTGAAAATTTTACCTCAGTGTGTCCTGTGAGCATAACAACCTTAAATCAGTGAGCGAGCCTACTGTGACTAGAAATAAACACTAACATTCAGCAACCAAGGTAGTATGAGCCTGCAGGTAATCAAAAGTTTGGTTATGCTTCCCATATTAGATATTAGTCTTAGAGAGGTAAAAAGAACTACATATATAGTTTCAAAATCAACAGGGTCAAAGTACACTGACTGGACTCATTCTCTCTCCAGAACACAAGTCTAAGCCCTGCCATCCCCAGCTTCCTGCCTAAGAAAGGTTTCTCAGTTCCTAGATTTTTCAAATCACTGGGAAACCATTTTCAGTGATCTCTATGAGCATCCAAACGAAGAAATGGAGAGATGAAAAGGACAGTAAAGGACCAAAGGATCTGGAAGAAAAAACAACCCTGAGAAGTTAGTTAGGGCCTGCCCAGCCTGCAGGTTCCACGACCACCAGGCCTCAGGAGACTTTAACTCAACTCCACACTTTATTCTGAGGGCATTTCTAAAGCTGCAAGTCTCCTCCTCCGTGGGTCTACCCTCGGCAACAGTAAAAAAGATGTTTTAAATGTGGGTCAGGAAAAGAGGACGCGTCAACGCTCTTTTTCATGGTGCTTTTCCGTGAATCATGCGCTCTCCCTTTTGCTTTCATTGCAATGACTTAAGCTGATGCTCTCCAACAGGCTTGATTGAGAAATGCAGGAACTAACGCAGGAACTAACGCAGAAACGGGTGCACTTCTTGAACTACTTGACTACCCAGGACATTAAACAAAGCACAAAAGAACACTCTCTTCTTAAGATAGCATGGTTTGGGGACCCAGGATTGAAAGAAAAGTCCATTCTTTTCAGTGCAGGACCTTAAATAAATATGTAAACAGCCCAGTGAGTCAGGCCCTTTCCCACTGGAGTGATTAGCTCTTCGCATAGGGAAGCCTCTTCTCTCCCAGAGCCTCGCTGCACAACTGTGGTCCCAGCTGCTCGGGAATGAGAGAGCGAGTGAGCGAGCCTACTGTGCCGCCCAGTCTGATGAAAGGGGAAGGAGACTTAAAACAGCTCCAAGCTTCCTGCTTCTCCTCTCCCTTATGGTTCTGACAGAAACCAGAATACAGTTTTGTAAATTAGAAATCTGTTAATCCTTGACCCACATGCTGAACATTCCTCAGATTGCTAAGACTGCATAGGACAGGACAATAGTTTAAAAATAACCCACAGGAGATGATAGGTGGAAGCTGTTCCCCAGTCCTGTGGGAGACATTTGCCACAGGGATTCTCTCCGAGGGCACTGCCTTCCCTCTTTGGTATTTAAGGAGAAAGGGAAGAAGGCACAATGCGTAGCAGTGGTAGGCAGGATTCTTGTGGCTATGCTATGCTCCACTAACGGAGAGAGGGTGGAAAAGGTCAAAAACACCTTGCTCTGTGCTTCCAAGATACATTAAATGTCCCCAGAACATCTCATGTTACAAATGAGCAGCAACAGCCTGGAAAAGTAGACGTTCTCTGCACGTTTGGATAAACTCACTTTAGTTGGTGAAGGCTGGAAGGGCCGGAAAAAACAAGTCCTCTAAGCAAGGACTCCCTCGCTTCTTTTTTTTTTCTTTTTTTCTTTTTTTCCAATTTCTATTGTTACTAATTTCTCTGTCAATGATGCAATCTTAACAGTAAGCACAAAATCTCCAGAAATCTATAAAAACTGAGGCATGTATCTCTCACTTAATTACCTTTATGGATGAGAGAGGAATAGAAATTAACACCCGAATTCCTTGCTAATAGTAGAGGATAATGATCATAGGCAGATCATAACTGCTCAAAGGTAAAGACTCAGAAGGAACAAGGTTTAGTTTTAAGAAGTTCCTACTATATGTTGCTTTATATATGTGTTTTTTTAAATTTTCTTCTCTTTTTTGTTGGTAACTAGAAAGGGTTAATTAATAGGTGGCAGAGCAAAGAAAAAAGGGAGAAAGAGCCTTAGATGCTAGTCATATCTGCTCTTGATTAATTAACTTACTATGCATGACATTAAAATTATAACTACCTAGTTCCAAATTAAATAATCAATGCCATTTAATTATCCCCATTTTAAAGCAAAAAGACATTTAAAAATACTTTGGTAATGTTTTCTAAAAGCATTTTATTTTGCCGATGCTCTACCCTTTACCTCCCCCCACAGAAATCAATTCTCAAATGCACAGCTTCTTTTATTGATTATAAATTGTGAGATTTTCCTACTCCTAGCTCCTCAAAGTTTCTATCTTTGGCTTCTGCCAATGCCATCTTTTGATATATTTGGAAAGTCAAGGTGACTCCTATTTCTAATCAGTGTTAGTCAATACAGTCCCAAGGGCTCCTGAAAAAGGTCACTAGAGATAACCTAATTATTCAAATTTTCTCAGCAGGGGAGGGAAGGCAACCACAGGCACCAGAACAACACCAACGTAATGGGATCAGAGAACAAGGTTTTGAGAGGGACTGATTTCAAGAAGTGACAACATGGCTGCTTGATTTGGGTCTGGCAGCCGCCCAAGGTTGCCTTGGCCCCACCTCTCAGAAGGGTCAGGCCAGCTCACTTGGCTTTCCATCAGTCAGGGAGATCCCCGTAGGAGTACCCTTCTGTAAGCCCCACCTCCCCGGCCCATTCAGTCATAAACATATCAATATGAACCTTGAAAAATAAATACAGGCAAGCAGAGACATCAATCACTCTCTAACAGTTCTAATGCCTTGGTTTTTCAAACTCCCATTTTATCTGAACATCAACTGACCTTAAAGCATTAGCGAATATATGTATATTTTTTAAATGGACATCAACAGATCATCTACCTACCTTTCCGAAAACTAAAACACCGTTTGATTCTTCTGTATGTAGTTTTAGGAATGAAAGGAGTTGATGCTAAGGCACCTGAGGGGCGTCCCCCAATAGTTCGGTCTTCAGGCATCATACAGGCCCGAAGTTTGGAACCAGTCTCAGGCTTCTTTTAAAACCTGCCTCTGCGCGATACCCCACAGCCACTCCTTCTCATGTTTATTTGTTAGGGTGGAAGTGCTGATTCCTATAACTTGAAGGCTTTTATCATCCAGGTCCTGGATCAGGGATAAGTTACCACCTCCCCTTTACTTCTTGTTTGGTCAAAAAAAATTTCCTTTTCTCTTGCCTAATCCAAAGAGGTTTAAGGTTTTGGTGTTTTGTTCAGTTTTTAAGTTTCTGCAGTCACTCCAAAATGTCTCAGCAAAAAGAGCCTCAGCAAGCAAGCTGCACCCCCCATTCAAACAGCAGGAGTTGTTTTTTTATTAAGAACTGTCTTCTCAGCTGGAACTGGGGGTACTGAGATTCCTCTGGAAAGGTCAGCGAACAGTCCTATGCAAGGGGAAAAAGGAACAATGACAAAAAGGCCCCTGAGGAATACTTCAGGACCGTCCTTGCTGGCTCCTTTCATCTGAGCAAAAGGGGAGGCAAATAATGGCACCTTCTCCAGAAAGCTTTTCAGTGCATGATAGGTTCTTTTCAAAGGACTCCCCGGTTCCTTTTATAGCACCCCTCTGCCTTTGATGCTCTCTGCGGGCTTCTCCCTTTTCCCTTCTGTCTTCAAACTCCCGGGCTCCCGAGGGAATCTCCACGTCAGAACAGCCGAGTGCCCATTCCAAGGAGCCTCCTCGGATCCGGATCCCTGGAGAAGGCAGCTCTGCGGGGAGCTTCTCCTCCCCCCTCCTCCAGCTCTGGCTCCCCTTTTCTCAATGAGGGCTGGGCGGGAGCTGGCACAGCGGCAGCTGCCTCTTCACCGCGCGCCGTGGCTGTGGCTGCGGCTGCCTTCAGTGCCCGCTGGTCACATGCAGCAGGTGCAATCACAACAGTAGGAGGGGAGGAGGGAGAATGCCACAGGGCGTGTGAACCCCTCTCTTCTTCCTCTGATTTTGTGTTGACTTTCCTGCCCTTGTCTGTGCAGCTCCTTTGGAGCTCCCTGCCGCAGCCGCTCCAGAAAGCAAAGGGCACCAAACCAACAACAAGGGGGTAAGCTTTTACCCCCCTTCTTCCTGTATTTATTCTCTTCCTATACAAGACTTTTTTAGGGATTTTGCGATTCCATCTATTCGTGAGTGCTGATTTCAATATGCATATTGCTAAAACACATGTATGCAGACTTGTACATACGTGTGTGTCTGTGAAATAGAAAAATATTCTCCATCAGGTAACAACGAACATGCAGGTACAACCACCATAGAAACAAACTCAACTCATGGGTGTTCGTTTATGCATATTTATACATACATGTATTTCTCCAGTTATGGTCTGAAAACCAGTCCGGTTTTCAACTTTCTCCTCTCCTTTTGCAGGCACCCTCTCCACCCCAGCCCCCATGTCCACCAGCAATCTCAACCCCACTCACTAAACAATTGACTCACTGAGTTAATCATTCATCTAGCCGGCTGTTCCATAAGCAGATTCAGATAGCTAGTGCTTTAACCCCAACTGACCCCCAAGGTCTCTACGTTCCTTCCAAGCCATTTGACAGGCACGTTACAAAACTGGGAGGACTACTACAAAGGCACTCCCTTTAGAAACATCATTTCTCTGCCCAGCATGCCCATATAGGTAATTGTTTGTCATGGAAGGAATCATCAGTAGTGACTTCTGCCATATAGTTCAAACTTTTTTTTGTTTGTTTGTTTTTTGTATAGTTCAAACTTGTTTTTTGTTTGTTTGTTTTTTGTTTTTAAAGATTTTATTTATTGGACAGAGGGAGAGAGCACAAGTAGGCAGAGAGGCAGGCAGAGTTGGGGGGGGAAGCAGGCTCCCCACTGAGCAGAGAGCCTGATGTAAGGTTTGATCCCAGGACCCTAAGATCATGACCTGAGCTGAAGGCAGAGGCTTAACCCACTGAGCCACCACCCAGGTGCCCTAAACTTATTTTTGCCTTCAGCGTCACAGCATGCTACTAGGAAAATAAGGAACCACAAAGCATAACTCAGGACAAATAACATGGCAAGGCTGGACTGGGAGACCCCTCAGCCAACTGAAAACCTCACTGACCTGAGCATTGGCATGGAGGGAACGCATGTCCTCCCAGGACTTTGGAGGTAGAATGAATCTCAGTTAAAAAGGTTATGTCTGATTTTCTTATTTCACAAACAAGCAAACTGAAAGTCTGGGGGCTAATACCCCTTATCTGGGGGCTAATACCCAATGATATATACATTGGGTATATATCACATAGTGGTCTGTGTCAAAGGCAAGACCGCGTTACCACTTAATTAACCCCTGCTTGACCACATGCCCATTATTCATCATGAGGATAATTCACATTCAGTATTTTTACTGCATTGCTGTCTCTGACTCAACTCTTTTATAAGGAAACATAAAGACGGGGAGAACCTGATTTTGTTAATAGTCAGAGTTAGGCAAAACACTCAGATCTAATTAATTCTCAGTGGATTCACACTCTTTCCAGACAATAGGCTTGGCACTTCCATACACATTGCCTCAAAAACAATCAAAAAGAATTGCAAAAACCAACCAACCAACCAAACAAACAAAAAACACCCAAACCCCCCCCCCCAAAAGACAAAACAAAAAAACAGGTAGGGGTGCCTGGGTGGCTCAGTTGGTTAAGTGTCCAACTCTTGATTTCAGCTCAGGATATGATCTCAGGGTCCTGGGATTGAGACCCACATAGGACTCCATAGTCAGCGGGGAATCCTAGGGGAGATTCTCTCTTTTCCTCTCCCTATTCCCTTTATATGTTTGTGCTCTCTCTCAATCAATCAATCAATCAATCAATCAAATAAATAAATAAATAAATAAAATCTTTTTTTAAAAAATTGTAAAAACACCCCTAAAATAACAAAACAAAATCCCTAAGCTTTTCCAAAATTAAATAAATGCTTTGATAACCTAAATTTTGGATTTGACTTTTAAGCAGAAACCATGATCCTCTCAGCATTATTAATGGTAAAGCAACTGTTTACAGTGGTTTTAAGCAGATAACACAAAGCTGAAATTTCTAGATTCAATACTGGATATTGTTATCAGGCTAGGTTGTTAAGTGAATGTCTACTTCCATTTCCATTGGTTCCATTTCCTTATCTGATTATCTGTTGTAAGTTTGCTTTATTGACTAAAAAGAAAAAGCCTATAATTCCAGAGCCCTACATTCCAGACTTTCACATAACAGTTTTTCATTTTTGAGAGACTGAAAACCTTGGCAAGCTCCTATTTTTCATCAAATGTCATATTATTGTAATGACAAAGGGGGAGTATTTTACATGTATATGCAACCTAAACAAGAATGAGGTTAGGTGTCTTATGAAAAACTTTAACTTTTTGAAAATGTGAAAGGGCAGTACAGGTAATGAAATGCCCTTTCTGTAATAAACACATTTAAAATGTATCCAAAGGAGGCATACAGAAATTATGTATCAGAGTGATATGTCACCTTCCAAATGCCTTTGCAGATACCATTTAATCTATGACCACAACAATATTTAAGCATTGAGAGGGAGAATGGAATCTAAGCGATCTTTATTTAGGATTAACAGAGTCTTGGGTTCCGTAACTAAGATAGGGAGGAGAAAATGTATTTTCTTATGAGAGGCAATTATGGCAATTGAGGAATTTTTTAACAGCTTTTTTGAGATATAATTCACATATCATAGGATTCACCCATTTCAAGTGTACAAGTTGATTTTTAGCATATTCATAGATATATACAACCATCATAATGTCAATTTTAGAATGTCTTCATCATCTCAAAGAGAAATTCTGTATCTTAGGCTATCACCCACCCTCTCCAACATTCCCATCCCAACACTACGTGGCCACTACTCTACTTCTTGTTTCTATAGATTTCCCTGGTCTGTACTTTCATATGAACAGAATCATATGCTTTGTAGCCTTCTGTGACTGGCTTCTTCCACTTAGTATGTTTTCAAGGTTTATTCACATCGTAGTGTGTATCCATACCACATTCCTTTTTTTTTATGGCTGCATAATAATCCCTGGTGTGGATATACCATATTCTATGGACTCATTTGTCCCTTGATGGACATTTGGGCATTTCCACTTTGGGCTATTAGCATATTAGTATGCTGCTATAAATATTCATGTACAAGTTTCTGTGTGAACATGCATTTTCATTTCTCTTGGGTATATATCTACCTACGAGTGCAAATGCTGGTCTATAATAACTCTGTGTTTAATTGATTGAGGAACTGCCAGACTCTTTTCCAAAGCAACTGCACCATTTTGCATTCCCATTAGCAATGAGAAGCACTTTGATTTTTCCACATTCTCATCAATACTTGTTATTATTGAACTTTCTGACTCAAGCCACTCTAGTTGGCATAAAGTGGTATTTCACTGTGACTTTGATTTGCATTTTCCAGACTACTAATAGCACTGACTGAGCATTTTTTCCACGTGCTTTTTGGCCATTTGCATGTTTTAGAGAAATGTTTATTCAGATTCTTTGCTCATTTTTTAAATGAGACAAAAATGAGTCAGATTTTTAATTTCTCTTATTATTGAGTTGTAAGAGTTCCCTATAAGTTCTGGATGCAAGTTCATTATTAGATATATGATCTGGAAATACCTCTTCCCAACCTGGTGGTTGTGTTTTCACTTTCTTGACAGTATCAATTCCAGTATTTTTGAAGGACTTGAAAAGCCATATTTATTTTAATTAGCATAATTTTCAAAGTTTTGTGTGCATATACTGGAGGATATATTACTAGTAAGGCATGGGCTTGTAATTGTGGGTTTTTCATTTCCATAGTAGAGGTGATAGATCACACTATTGTGAAAGAAAGCAAGAGGAGTTCACAAACCAGAAGCCATGGGTTTTCTTCCTAGTTCTGTTACTCACAGTGTAACTGACATTTGGCAAGTTAGTCACTCTCTCTGGGTCTTGATGACCTAATACACAAAACATGGGATTGAACTAAAACAGTCGCTTTAAAATATACTTTATCAGCAGAAAACATTTTTAATGAAATATTAAGTGTATCCCTAATATATAAGAGAAATAAAAGGGTTTTTAGTTATATACATTTCTTTGAAACTCAAATCTATAATATTTATTTAAAATGTAATCACTGAGCAGAGAGTGGGTGTATTAATACAAACATTTGAAACCCTAGATTATGGGTGACAGTTGCAATCCTCTACGAATGTCAACATTCAGTTTGGTTCTCTGCTCTGTATTTACTTAAAAAAATTCTAATGTTCAGTTGACTCACAAAGGATTTATTATAAATTGAATGAGTACTTTAAAAGCTTGCCTTGCATTCTCATAACACTCGTCAATTAAACAAAAAGGGCAGAAAAGTTTTTATCGGAGCATTGTTTCTATGGTAAGTGTTCTATGCTAAAATATATCTCTTCAGAAGTAAATTTGAGTCAAGCATTTACAAGTTCCCTGAAGCTCATTTCATAGGATAAAGTATAGTAGTCCCCCATTATCCACAGAAAATATGTTCCAAGACCCCCAGTAGATGTCTGAAACTGGTAATAGTATTGAACTTATATATCCTATGTTTTTTACTAGATATATAAAGTTGATACAGATGATAAAGTTTGATCTATAAATTGAGCACAGTGAGAAATTAACAATCCTTACTACTAATAAAATAGAATAATTATAATAATGCATTGCAATAGAAGTTACGTGAATGTGGTCACTCCCTCTTAACATATCTTGTAGTGTACTCACCCTTCTTCTAGTGATGATGTGAGTACAGGAAATGCCTACGTGATGAGATGAAGTGAGGTGAATGACAGAGGCATTGTGGCATAGCATTAGGTTACTATGGACCTTCTGAGGATAGATCAGAAGGAGCATCATCTGCTTCTGGACTGTGGTTGATGATGAGTAACTGAAAACTTTGG